TGTGTTGTGTTTTCATCATAGATCTTCTTGGCTGCAAGAGTACTTGGTTAACTTCTCCTCCTGAAAGGAACAGTCACATTTAGCAAAGGCTAGAGAGATGTTTATTCTGAAGACGTGGGCTGAAGCCAGTTACGTTTGCCAGCAACTTGGAAACCTTACTGATTCCCAAACTGCCCCCCTTCCTTTCAGCAGAATCATTGTTTGTTTTGCAATCTAGCAATGAAGTGTTTAATATATGTGCTTGAATGTTCATCCTAATTAAATTAATTTAACCCATAACTGTTCAAGTTGTCGGTAATGTTATGAATTTGGAGGGCTTTCCTGTCTCCCCGAAATGTCATGTTTTGATTAAGAAGGGGAATTTATTTGTGTGAATATTGCAAGTGTTCTTTCAGGAATTACCACAAAAGGTCCACGTATTGTTAGATTCTTAATCGTTTGAGGTCTTTGAACTATTTTCTTCCCAGCTTTTATTGTTCCTTGGTGTAACTGATAGACTTGAGTTTATTTGTGCCTTTTCCTCTCATCTGATATTTATAAATTTCTCAGTTTTGCAATACATAGATGGATGTGTTGGAAATCACTGTTGGGTGGGAGGCTGCGACTTTCCCTAGCAAAGGTCATACTTTAAAAAAAACAAAAAACTTTATAGAATGACATTCACGTGAAAGGATGCAAGTGGGTCTCATCCTTAGTTCAGCTTTTGCCACAGCCAAAATAAATTTTGCTTGCTACAGCTCAGAAAGGTTTAGCTGAAGTGATAATGGGTCGTGAATGCAAAGCATTTTTTTTATTATTTTTTATCTCACCGTCATTATTTTTATAAATAAGGCAGTAAACATACTTAATACTCCTTCCTCCTCCTATTTTCCCCACAACAACAGCCCCGTGAGGTGAGTCGGGCTGAGAGAGGGGGACTGGCCCAAAGTCACCCAGCCAGCTTTCACGCCTAAGGCAGGACTAGAACTCAGTTTCCTGCTTTCTAGACCAAACTGGCTCTGTTAAGGAACTCCAGCGACAGATTACAAGATAACATTTCCCCTTTCTTCTATTTTGCTCACACACCCAATTCACTGTGTAAGACTTGGCTCTCAAGGCGTAAGTGAAAAGAAAACCCAGTGACCGTCAGAAGAGCCAAGCAGAGAAGAATCGATGCCTTTGAATCGTAGGGCTGGGAAAAAAGGTTGAACTTCAAAAAGAACAAATCACTCAGGAGTATCTGAAGTACAGTAAAACCAAAACCGCTTTCTGGAAGCGCTAAGGAGGCTAACGCTTAAATAATTTGGCCACGTCATGCAAAGGCAGGAGGTACTGGCGAAGGTCCGGATGCTTGGAGAAACCAAGGGCAATTGATTGCTGAAAGGAGGTCTGTCGGGTCACAGAAAGAGGCTGGGCAACAATATATGATGTAGAGGCTGGTACCTCTGACTGCTGAGAAGGTACGGGAGCAACATTGGCGGCACCCTGGATTTCATTGGCTCTCGTCCCAAAACTCAGCAATATCCTGGTTACTGTTCTGTTAGAATTGTTCTAGAAAGATAGGTGGTAATAATAATAACCACAGACCTAGTAAACCATTTTTCAGAAATGAAAGCCGCTCTACGTACTGTGAAACTAAACATCCTTGCCCTGTGGCTGAATGTTGCAAATAGACCTTTCAGGGCTCCTATTGCTGTGTGGGCCTAAAATCGAGCAGATGGCTCAGCCTCTCTTTTGCAGTCCCCGAGCCGGGATCTAGACAATTCATCAAGGATCCCGTCCCTTTCATGGCGACTTAGCACAGCTGCTTTTCGCTTTCTGCTCCTAAAGGAGAAAAATAAGCTGGGCAAATGTTTAACGCCATTCTTCTCTGGTGAAGTCATCAGCGGTGGCTTTTCCTGTAATAAGAGGCCGTGCAAATAAATAAATGAAAGGGAAGCTTTTATCCAGGCAAGTGGGATTCAGCGAGTGCTTCAGGACAGCTGCCTAAAGAGACGGGAAATCGCCCTGCTAGATGCGTTCCCCCTTTAGTATTTCCATGTGGGGTTCATTATTCCTACATGCTGCTCCCCCCTGCCCCCATAACTTTAATTCAGCATTTGGTTTTTCTAAGGGTCGGTGATACTTTTCATTTAAAATGTCTCCCTGCTCTTTTCTGCTCGAGGTTCCTCTGAAAGAGCTAATGAAGGACTTTAAGAAGGAGCCATTCCAATTCATGAAAGTTCCTCTGCAAGTTCCACGTTCTCTCGTCTTTTAAAAGCAGCTCCTGTTCGAAAAGGAGCTGCACACTTCTGCGCCCTGCAACCCGCTCCCTCAGCTTCACAAATGCTAACTCTCTCTGCATCCCTGGAAATAAGCATTAACTGGGTAACCATCGCCTCTTTTTTAAAAAAAATCACCCCAGAAAAACTATGAATGAGCCTTTTAGTGTTTCCAAAAGGGTCTCTGAGCAGACAGCATTCTGCAGCCGTGAATTCATTCTTGAGTCCCATCCAGGTCTGAAAGGAGAAGCAGTTTTCAGGAGGGGGGGGGCAGAAATCTGTTTTTCTGTGTATAATTAACAGACAAAGTTGCTGGGAAGTTGGAAAAAGAACCTTGCTGTTTTCTTTCTCGGAGCTGCCTTGCTGAGTCGAGTTGCTGCCTTTTCCAACGAGAGGCCTTGCCAGATTAGCCACCTTCCTTCAGTATGGCCAGGCCCTTTGGTTTTTTTTTTGTTTTTAACCTCTTCTCCTTTGGAATCTGCACATCTGTTTTAAGAAGCCCCTTAAAGCAACCTACTTTTTTTTTTGGTTAGTTTTTACAGAGCTGGGACCTCTTTCTTGTCCCCAGATCTTTTTTTTTTCTGCAAAGAGATCACACATGAAAGGTTGGAGGGTTGCTAAAGAGGGCAGAATTGCCCACTGTGACAAGGGCTCATCTTGGGGAGCAGTGGGTCCAATCTGGGGAGGCATGAAGCACATGGGTGGAAGGCTAGAGGTTTATGTTCTATATTGAGCTACAGTTGGCTGGGTGTGCCCCACACATTAAGCCATAAATCAGCTTTATCAGCCACAGGGAGGAACCCTTTGATCTCGCCCCATAATCGTCTCCCTGAGTCCCAATATACTGTAATAAACACTGTACGTTAGACTTTTTGCCGTTGCAGGACATCCAGGTGCAAAGTGCGATGGGGCGAGTCCAGCCTGTTGCCTTTGTAACAAGATTTGATATCTGACCAAATCTGAACTTTTCTGAGAACTGAAAGTGTGTTCTCTGTTGCTCCCTCCAAAGTACATCTTGAAAAAGAGCCGAAGTTTGGATTGGTTATCCTCTGGTGGAAGAAAGAAATCTTTATTCTGGTTGTTATTTTAGCATTCCTTCCCA